TTTAAATGTGCATCTCAAGGACCATGACCTTCGACATGTCCCCTTTCTCTAGCAACACAAAGCATTTAGCATTTTATAAGTTCCATTAAATCCCCACGGGCTGAAATTCGTGAGCACGGCATTCAAATTTTAACAGTGAGTGATTTAAAAAGTTTTCTTTTTTTTGGGACACCCTGTATATCATATTTGTAAACCAGGGCTCCATACCTGGAATAGGAGGAATATATGTATATACTTCATCTTAATCATGTGCGTGTATATAGACTATACATCACAGCAAAGGTCAGATGTATATGATGAGTCGTCAAAAGATTGCAGAATACGTATTCGGAAGAAAAATTGAACTTTTTCATGCTATTCAAAAGGTTTCTCTTTGATAGCGGTACAGAAATACACAATTGGGACCCAGCGATTATATTTCCGGGTTGAAATGTTTCAAACACCAATTTCTGCTGTGTCTTTCAGTAGATGGTTAGGTTCTGTGGTGTAATGGTTAACACTTCGGACTCTGAATCCGGGAATCCGAGTTCAATTCTCGGTTGGACCTTGCTGGAACTATTAATTTTATGTTTTTATGTAAATTTTTTAGCTCTGGTTTTCTCTTATAGCCCATTTGAGAAAAAATATATGTTTTTGAATAAGATTTCGAAAAGATCTTTTTTATTGAAATGATAACTTTAGCAGGAAATGGTTTCGATCCATTGACCTCTCGGTTATGGGCCAAGCACGCTTCCACTGCGCCACCCTGCTTGCTACACACTGCTTCTATGCTATGAATATAAAACTTGTGTTATTTCGAATAAGGTAAGAACAGCAAGAAATTTTCTTTTAGGAGAATAGCATCAAACAGGTATGCACGATCAGGGAGTGTAGCTCAGTGGTAGAGCATTCGACTGCAGATCGAGAGGTCAGTGGTTCAACTCCGCTCGCTCCCTTTTCTTTTATGAATGAAAAAAAATCCAACATTTTTATCGTACTAATTAGTGAATTAAAAAACCCAAATTTATTTTCCTTGCAACAATCCGTTTCCTTGATAAATAATCCTTGCAGTTTAGTGTTTCTTCAATGACTCTCTGGGACACATGCATGTTCTATAAATTTGTAAAACGGGAGTCCATACCTGGAATACAGGGAATATAATTACTTTATCTTAATAATGGGCGTGCATAGATATACTGTAGAGCCAGGAATTTCTCAGTAATTTTTCTAGGTGTTTATGTCCCGTGGTGAAATGGTTACCACTTCGGGCTCTGAGTAGGATAAATTATATAGTTGCTATAGTTGCCTATATACTTTTGTAAATACAAAAGTATGCAAAAGCCTCATCAGAGAGTTGAACTCTGGACCCCTGGTTTACAAGACCAGTGCTCTAACCACTGAGATAATGAGGCGTATGTGCAAGCTTAACACGAATATAATTATATGAACACTTTATCTTAATAAGGTGGATGCGCGTAGCAAACTACATAATTATATACTGTGCAGCCAACATTCGTCAGTAAGTTTGATAGATTTTTAGGTTCTGTGGTGTAATGGTTATCACTTCGGACTCTGACTTCGAGAATCGGAGTTCAATTCTTGTTAGAAACTCTTTGAAAACATTCATTCTCCGTCTTTATGTATTTTTTTATTTCAGGCTTTCTCTTACAGGTATCTAAGAATATAGCATATGACAGGTATGCTGCACGGAACGCTCAGAAAGAGTAGCACATAGTGGTAGAGCATCCGCCTGCAGGTTGACAGGTCACTGGAGTCAGTGGTTCAACTCCGCTCGCTCCTTCCTGTTCTATAAATTAAGAAAAATTAAATATTTTTATGGTACCTATATAGTGCATAAAAATCCAAATTTATTTTCGTGGGAAACAGCCGTACGTTTGATAAACAATCCATGCAGTTTAGGTTTTTTGAATGACTCTCTGGGACACATGCATGTTCTATATTATATTTGTAAACCAGGGCTCCATACCTGGAATAGGGGGAATATATGTAAATACTTCATTTTAATAATGTGCGTGTATATAGACTATACATCACAGCGCGGGTCAGATGTATATGATGAGTCGTCAAAAGATTGCAGAATACGTATTCGGAAGAAAAATGGAACTTTTTCATGCTATTCAAAACGTTTCTCTTTGATAGCAGTACAGAAATACACAATTGGGAACCAGCGATTAGATTTCCAGGTTGAAATGTCTCAAACACCAATTTCTGCTGTGTCTTTCAGTAGATAGTTAGGTTCTGTGGTGTAATGGTTTGCACTTCGGACTCTGAATCCGGGAATCTGAGTTCAATTCTCGGTAGAACCTTGCTGGAACTGTTAATTTTATGTCTTTATGTAAGTTTTTTAGTTTTAGTTTTCTCTTATAGCCCAATTTTAAAAAAATATATGTTTTTGAATAAGATTTCGAAAAGATCTTTTTTATTGAAATGATAACTTTAGCAGGAAATGGTTTCGATCCATTGACCTCTGGGTTATGGGCCCAGCACGCTTCCACTGCGCCACCCTGCTTGCTACACACTTCTTCTTTGCTATGAATATAAAACTTGTGCTATTTCGAATAAAGTAAGAACAGCAAGAAATTTTCTTTTAGGAGAATAGCATCAAACAGGTATGCACGATTAGGGAGTGTAGCTCGGTGGTAGAGCATTCGACTGCAGATCGAGACGTCAGTGGTTCAACTCCGCTCCTTCCCTTCTCTTTTATGAATGAAAAAAAAATTCAACATTTTTATCGTACTAATTTGTGAAATAAAAAACCCCAATTTATTTTCGTTGCAACAATCCGTTTGATTGATAAATAATCCTTGCAGTTTAGTGTTTTTTCAATGACTCTCTGGGACACATGCATGTTCTATAAATTTCTAAACGGGAGTCCATACCTGGAATACAGGGAATATAATTACTTTATCTTAATAATGGGCGTGCATAGATATACTGTAGAGCCAGGAATTTCTCAGTACCTTTTCTAGGTGTTTATGTCCTGTGGTGTAATGGTTAGCACTTCGGGCTCTGAGTAGGATAAATTATATAGTTGCTTTAGTTGCCTATAAATACAAAAGTATGCAAAAGCCTCATCAGAGAGTTGAACTCTGGACCCCTGGTTTACAAGACCAGTGCTCTAACCACTGAGCTAATGAGGCGTATGTGCCAGCTTAACACGAATATAATTATATGAATACTTTATCCTAATAATGTGCATGCGCGTAGCAAACTACATAATTATATACTATGCAGCCAACATTCGTCAGTAAGTTTTGATAGATTTTTAGGGTCTGTGGTGTAATGGTTATCACTTCGGACTCTGACTTCGAGAATCGGAGTTCAATTCTTGGTAGAAACTCTTTGAAAACATTCATTCTCCGTCTTTATTTATTTTTTAATTTCTGGCTTTCTCTTACAGGTATCTAAGAATATAGCATATGACAGGTATGCTGCATGGAACGCTCAGAGAGAGTAGCATATAGTGGTAGAGCATCCCACTGCAGGTTGAAAGGTCACTGGGGTCAGTGGTTCAACTCCACTCGCTCCTTCCTTTTCTATAAATTAAAGAAAAATTAAATATTTTTATGGTACCAATTAGTGCATGAAAAATCCCAATTTATTTTCGTGGGAAACAGCCGTACGTTTGATAAACAATCCATGCAGTTTAGGTTTTTTGAATGACTCTTTGGGACACATGCATGTTCTATATTATATTTGTAAACCAGGGCTCCATACCTGGAATTGGGGGAATATATGTAAATACTTCAATTTAATAATAGATAGATAGATAGATAATTTTAATAGTTTCTCCCAGAAAGGTTTTTCAGAACCTATTTACAATAATTATATTATACTGGATAATTTACAATTAAAACTAAACTATGTTTAATAGAATGTAAAAAGCTAATAGTATTTACAATGTCGAAACAGGCTAAAATGACAGTAAATGATCTCTCAAATGAGTTTTAAAAGTGTTAAGTGATGTACATTCCTTCAGTTTACTATCTAGGTTGTTCCAAATCACAGCTCCTCTATACGCAAATGACCGTTGACCTGTACTTGTTTTGAACCGGGGTATTTGTACTAAGTTGCAATACCTAGTTGACCTATTATGAATAGAAGTTCTCTTCTCGAACATATCACCGAGGTATTTTGGCGCTAAAGTGTTCATACATTTATAAGTCATAACCGCATCACGGAAATAGAGCAATTTGTCGACAGTCAGCCACTCCAGATCTTTAAGTAATGGGGTTACATGATCATATTTCTTAGATCCTGTGATTATTTTACTTGCAAAAATTTGAACCGATTGAAGTTTCTTCATGTTAGCATTTGTTGTATTTGACCACACTGTGGAGCAATATAACATTTTATTGATCACTAACGAGGATATTATCATGGTGAGTGTGCTCTTATCGAAGTTGTTTTTAACTCGGTTTATCTGGCACAATTTGTGGAGGCAAGATGATACTACTTTAGAGATATGTTTGTCATAACTTACGTGTTTGTCCATCAACATTCCTAGATCTTTCGCCCAATCAACAGGTTCTAAAAGTTTTCCCATGAAAGGAACCGAGATATTAACATCGAGCTCTCTTATCAACTGTCTTGTTCCAAGAATCATAAATTTAGTTTTGTCTCGGTTGACCAGAAGGCTGTTTTCGCAGCACCAAGTCGCGATCATATGTAGATCTTGTTCCAAGATTTTTACAGCGTTGTCAACTTCTGATAGAGGAAACGATAACAGTAACTTTGTATCATCTACATATGATTCCAGATTGCCATTGTAGGATGTAGCGGGTAAATCGTTTAAGTATATACAGAAGAGCAGTGGCGATAAAATGGCCCCCTGAGGTACCCCATGAGTTAATAATAGTGGCTCCGATATTGTAGAATCAATACGAGTGACTTGAGAGCGGTCAGTTAGGTAACTTCTAAACCAATTTATCGTGGAATTAGAAGCTCCGACATTGAATAATTTTTGGAGTAGCGTCTGGTGATTTATACTTAGTACAGTCAAAATGGTAAAAAAGGTCGGAAAAAATTAGTAAGAAGTTGAAAATTGGGGTATTCACTCATTTCAGTGACCTTGATAACATAGTAAAAGTCCTCATGTATCCGACTGGAGCTTCTGCCGTTATGAGGTCATGACGTCATTACTTATATTTGCGCTAAATATGGATTTTTTAAAATATGTTTTGGTACGTAAAATTATTACTTTAGACTAAACAGCAATATTATGACGTCATAAGCACGATAACATACAAAATTACCTGACACAAAGTAACAACTGGAATTTTCACAGTAAAGTTGACAAGTGAATATTATTAAAACACGTTTCACAAGAATCCTAGCCAGGGGTTCCACCCAACTCTATTACACGAAAGACTGTACACTGTCCCGATATGTTTATGTTTTACTTTTCCGCTTTCGTGGATTCGCAGTTGCTGATGGAAATTCAAGTTCATCAGATTGATTGTCTATTGACAACTCTTCGTCAGGCACATGGACATCAAATGCTTCATTTCCAATATCGGCGAATCGGAAATAACATCAATGCCTTCGCTCTTTTCATCAAAAATATGTTCTCCATCCATTTCTGATTCACATACAATTGGTGATTCAGAATTACTGCAGCCATTTCCGTTGCAATGGCCACACAGAACGGTGCAAACCAAACCTGCTTTCTTGCAGCCACATGATCGCTCACAGCCACTCTTGCAATTGCAAGAAATCAAAGTTAACAGTTTTTCAGGCGCAGGTGCTTGACGAGTGAGAACCGGTTGCAGGTTTCCATTTTTCAATTGCCAGCCCCACTGAGTTGGGGGCAACTCCACTCCTAACCACTGTTGCACTTGATGATACACTCTGAATGAATGTTCCTTTGCTGCTGCAGATGTCGGTGGCAAAGCCGCGAGTTGCATCTGGTTGTTAACAGGACAGTTAGCTACCGCTTTCATGAATCGTTTGTGTCTGTGATCATTCAGAGAAGTTGTTGACTTAGGAGCACTATACAATGCCAGAAGAAACTTTTCTCCCGCGGATGACACAGAATCAGGGGAAGATGTTGGATCGTTGAATACACTCACCACCTCGCGCCGTAATTCCTCGTTTTTCTGTAAGAGGTTGAACGCCTTCTTCTTGCCTTGTCTGTACAGGGCGGAGGTAGTGTCACAACCTGTCATGGCGTGCAGAAAGAACAACGAGCTGGATACTTCTGTCAAATGTTTCTGAACATCTCTGATAGAAAATACTTTATCTGGACATTTTCCAGCTCCTTGTTTGTACAGATAGAGTTGGTTGTCTTTCTTCGATAGCTGTATCAACAAAATAAGCAAGTCGACATCAGTTCCGACTACGACAACGTTGTTGTTGGTCGACAAATCAATTGCAGTTCGCACAATTAACGCATCTGCATCTGCTACCGCTTGTTTCACTTCTATCTCAGCATGTTCAAGATATCGCGTTAGACCTTCAATAAACCGTGCTTTATTCTTTCCATTTGTCAGAAATCTTTCTTGACGGATAGTAATAGGCATGTCATCCGTGAACAAGATCTCTGTCGACTGCGCCTTCATTGCTCGCCGATTTTGCTCAGCACACTTTGTGGACGGAGCGTCACTATAGCCATCAAATACAATAACGACCCTTTGTGTTTCATAGTGTTTTTGAAAAAGTTTCCAATCTAAGTTTTTTAAGTAAAACAAGAGACAGTGAAATACAATAAATAGACTGTCGTTGTCAATGTCATTGACATTGTAATATAAATATTTTGAGCGCTCATGAAAACATATTATGCACACCTTTCTACGATGATATCTGCGAAAAATAACTCTTTCCACTTCAAAACGTTTCTTCGAACTTCTCAGCATATTGCTCCTTCGATTGTTTACCATTTTACGAAAGTCTGAGTATGGGTAAAAAACTGTTTAATGAATGGCGATGTAATCGAAAAGTCTTAAAAATCAAAAGTGCTATATCTGCGCCCGCGAGGCAACACGTTGTAACTGTGCAGAAACTGTCCTTGATTTCTGGCAATGGCTTAATATATTTTATTTCACACTTAATTTGTGTTTTAATGAATAAACGTTAAAAATCAATGCAATAATTTGGTGACTATAATAATATTGTTAGCAAGATAAGCCCGCGATACTTTCTACATTAATCATGTTTACAACATGGGGAGGCTCCACTGTTTTTTGAAAATGCCAACAGGTCATTCAGTCAAATAGACCTTTTCGTAATTACGTCAAAATTACACGGAAGCGAGGCTGAGAGGCCAAGCGATATTGCTTTTATTTAGAAGCCTCGCTTCAATGTAGTTGTGACGTAATTACCGAAAAGGTCTATTCTATATGGCGAATTTATAAACATTCCATACTAGTAATCTAATATTTCTTTGGATGACACATTACAAGGGCTTCAAATAGCAAGCAAGGTAGTACAAATTTTTATAGCGCAACAGACCCTTGCCTTGTTTGCATTTATTAAATTCCGATCATATATGACCAAAGAATATGTGCGCCATTGTGCTATTGTATGCTACAATGCATATATAATAACTAAGCTTTCTTGGGAGCTTGGAAAATTTGCCTTTTAAAAATACCAAATCATAAACAACGCAAGGGATCTGTAGAGTGTAGAAACGTATGACTATACTCTATAGCTATAAACTTAAATCCAGTTGCCAAATGCATATATTACCAGCCTGGAAAGTAAAGTGTGTACACCGGACTTGTCCGGTGTACAAACACAAATTTTGGCGTACATATGGCGTACATTTGTTTACCTTTAGAAGTAATTATTCAGAGTTTGCAAAATTGGACCAAATATATTTATACTAAAGTCTAAAAAATAAATGTATTTGGAACTTTTGCACATATACATTTCCAAAATTGGCGTACATTTACATGTGCCTGGCTGAATCGATATCCGGTTAAAAAGTAAACTTTGCAGACTGGCATATATTATACAGCTTTTGTTGCATACCGAAGGTAGAGTTTAACATATAGTGTAAATTCTGAAGAAAATAAAGGTTTTTTGCACATATACTTACATTTTTTTAACTGAGATATTTTCAATTCGCAGCGTCTGCAGACAATTGTTATTGTCAGTGCTTCCACTTTTGAACTGCCAAATCCAACCAAATCCAACAAAATGTATTCAATCTGCCAAAATTTCCGTTCAAAGGTAGTGTATGGTTCTGGCGTTAATACAACAAAAGCTCAAGCGGGATACATGAGGACTTTTAGTATGTTGTTGAGAACGGTTAAAGGATTGCATACTGCAAATTTCAACTTTTTACTATTTTTTTCCGACCTTAACAAAAAAATCTCCTAAAATTACTGGACTAACTATCGAACGCCTTTGAGAGATCCAGCAACACTAGCGCTGTAAGCTTCTTTTTGTCCATGGCATCTAAGATTGAGTCAGTGGTGAAAATATTTAATGTTTCCGTCGAATGGAGTGTTTTGTTTCCACTTTGGTGGGGAGTTAATCGCTTGTAGTTGATTAAAAAGGAATTCAATTGTTCAAGAGCTAATTTTTCACACACTTTCGACGCTACTGCTAGTAGTGACACTGGTCGATTATTAAAGGGTAGTTCATGATCACCTTCTTTATGTATAGGAATGAGCTCTGCCTTTTTCCATGCCAGTGGAAAGGTAGAAGTTCGGAAAGAACAGTTAATAATATCCGTAAGAGGACCCAAAATGACTGGAAGACAGTCTTTTATTATCTTTGGGTTAATTAAATCTGGGCCGGGAGATTTATTGTTAGGTAAAGATAACACCACTCGACGAACTTCATAACAAGATACCGCCCTAAACGAAAATTGATCGTTTTCCGGTATAGAAACTTTTTCATAGGATTCCTGCAGAGCGATGTTATTAGCAGCTGCTAGATGAATAGATTTCTTTGCAGCATTTTCACCAACTGATGAAAAAAATTGATTGAATTCGTTTGCGATAGATTTGTGATCTTTGGTGTAAATTTGTCTCTCTTGGCTCTTTGATGGTACCAGACGGTTTATTATTTCCAGATAGACCTCGGGTTATCTTTGTGTTGCTGTACTTCATTAGAATTATGTTCATTTTCTGCCTTCCTGAGAGCTTTTTTAATATTATTTCGGTAGATCTTGTAATTTTCCAGTCCTTAGTGTCACGCGTAATTAGGAATTGATGGTGTAATCGGTCTCTCTCTTTCATTTGGTTTCTAATTTTGTGTGATAAAAGGGCAAGGTCGGTTACGAATCGCTGTTGTTTTAATCGGTGCGTGAACAATCTAGTGTTGATTGCACAACATGGTTAAAGCGATCGAGTTTGTTATTTACATCTTCCTCTTCCAAAACGGATAAGAGGGAGTCTGACTTTCTAGCTAGATCGGTGAAGAAGTCATTAGGTACATAGTTTTTGTAGCTACGCGTAGTGATATATCTTGTGGCTTGTCTAGGAGGTTTAAGTTTGAGTTCCGCGTACACTGGCAAATGGTCGCTGATAGATGCGTTTAATACCCCACTTCGGCTAACTAACGACTTCGACGACACTATGATGACATCTAGCAATGAACAAGTTGAATTCGTGATCCTCGTTGCGGTTTCGATGATTTGGGTAAGGTTCATTTCATTTAAAAATTTTTCAAGAGATTTATACTCTGCGCAACCACTCTTCAATACATCACAATTTAGGTCTCCTAGGATCAGGATTGGTTTGTTTAATAATAAAGCTTCCATATAGTTTGGCTTAAGAGCGTCTTCCAAACAGTTCAAGGGACAGTCAGGTGGCCTGTAAGTTACACAGATTAAAAACGATTTGGATTTTTTATACTGAACATTTATCCATTGTTGATGGAAGTTGTCTTCAGAGATAGAAGACAGAGACTTTATGACAGATGCTTTAAGTTCTTTACGAACATACGTGCACACCCCTCCACCTCGTTTGTGAAGGCGGTCTAATCTTAAAAGATTGAAACCTTCTATTTTTACTTCAGCAGACGATACACTTGTATTTAGCCACGTTTCTGATATTGTTAAGATATCAAATTTTTCATTTCGCGTCAGTTCTCTCATTTCGGTGAGATGTACATTGTTCCTAAGCGAGCGGATGTTTAAATGAGCCACTTTAAGCCTGTTGTTTTTTAAGTTATACCTCGAATTCTGGATTCCTGATAAACTTGGTGACTGAGTTTTGGACATAGGAATTGGGATTAGATTATTTAAGTTTCTCTTTTTTGAATGAGTGTAAGATAATATACCAGGGCGTCGTAAAGAAACTATAGGGATTTGCTTGCTGACTTTAATGTGCGTGTATATAGACTACACATCACAGCGCGGGTCAGATGTATATGATGAGTCGTCAAAGATTGCAGAATACGTATACGGAAGAAAAATTGAACTTTTTCATGCTATTCAAAAAGTTTCTCTTTGATAGCGGTACAGAAATACACAATTGTGAACCAGCGATTAGATTTCTGGGTTGAAATGTCTCGAACACCAATTTCTGCTGTGTCATTCTGTAGATGGTTTGGTTCTGTGGTGTAATGGTTAGCACTTCGGACTTTGAATTCGGGAATCCAAGTTCAATTTTCGGTGGAACCTTGCTGGAACTGTTAATTTTATGTCTTTATGTAAGTTTTTTAGTTCTAGTTTTCTCTTATAGCCCAATTTTAAGAAAATATATGTTTTTGAATAAGATTTCGAAAAGATCTTTTTTATTGAAATGATAACTTTAGCAGGAAATGGTTTCGATCCATTGACCTCTGGGTTATGGGCCCAGCAGGCTTCCACTGCGCCACCCTGCTTGCTACACACTGCTTCTTTGCTATGAATATAAAACTTGTGCTATTTCGAATAAGGTAAGAACAGCAGGATATGTTCTTTTAGGAGAATAGCATCAAACAGGTATGCACGATCAGGGAGTGTAGCTCAGTGGTAGAGCATTCGACTGCAGATCGAGAGGTCAGTGGTTCAACTCCGCTCGCTCCCTTCTCTTTTATCAATGAAAAAAAAATCCAACATTTTTATCGTACTAATTACTCCGGCGTCAGCGACGGAGTTGAAAATTCGCCCCGGTTTTGTTTTTTTTTGTTTTTTTTTTTTTTGTTTTTTTTTTATTTTTCGTCGTCGCAAGTCTGTAATGGCGCGAAATATACTAGTATTTAAAACGTGTATGTGACCGTATTTATCTACGTCCCAGTCTTATCTCCCAAGAGTTGTGGTGCACAGCTTTGGCTAATTTTCCAATGCGCGATTCGATTTCGCTCGCATGATACGGCAATTCCTCCAAGAGGAACAAATAGACCGTTCTTTTCATGCTGTTCGATTAAGTTTAGATTGAATTGGGATAAGAATATATTTAATACATGTAGACCCGGTCCTATTTTAATAATATCGCTGCTATTTCGCCGTTTAACAAGATGATGTGGTCGTGTATGGGCGCGTTGACACGTCGCGTAGTTTGCACAGGATCGAAGATTTAATACAACTATATAAGCGCGAATTCCAAAGGCAAACTGTAAGACGAAGCGAATGTATCATGCGGTTTATTTACATTTTTGAACAATTGAACTTCTATACTGCGATGTGCTTCTGAATTTCGCGATCGAACATTTAGGTTCGTAAGGCATCTAAATGCGAATATGTATGCGAACAGCCAAACAATACACGAACTGTATTGTTTATGTCCAGAAGCTCTATATTGAAGACTGGCACGTGCGCCGGAGTTAACGCCAGAACGCCGTCTTGTTATTGAATTAAAAAACCCAAATTTATTTTCGTTCCAACAATCCGTTTGATTGATAAATAATCCTTGCAGTTTAGTGTTTTTTCAATGACTCTCTGGTTCTATATTAAATTTGTAAACCCGGTCTCCATACCCAGAATAGGGGGAATATATGTAAATACTTCATTTTAATAATGTGCGTGTATATATAGACTATACATCACAGCGCGGGTCAGATGTAAATGATGAGTCGTCAAAAGATTGCAGAATACGTATTCGGAAGAAAAATTGAACTTTTTCATGCTATTCAAAAGGTTTCTCTTTGATAGCGGTACACAAATACACGATTGGGAACCAGCGATTATATTTCCGGGTTGAAATGTCTCGAACAACAATTTCTGCTGTGTCTTTCAGTAGATGGTAAGGTTCTGTGGTGTAATGGTTAACACTTCGGAGACCGAATCCGGGAATCCGAGTTCAATTCTCGGTAGAACCTTGCTGGAACTGTTAATCTTATGTCTTTATGTAATTTTTTTAGCTCTGGTTTTCTATTATAGCCCATTTGAGAAAAAATATATGTTTTTGAAAAAGATTTCGAAAAGATCTTTTTTATTGAAATGATAACTTTAGCAGGAAATGGTTTCGAACCATTTACCTCTGGGTTATGGGCCCGGCACGCTTCCACTGCGCCACCATGCTTGCTACACACTGCTTCTATGCTATGAATATAAACTTGTGCTATTTCGAATAAGGTAAGAACAGCAAGAAATGTTCTTTTAGGAGAATAGCATCAAACAGGTATGCACGATCAGGGAGTGTAGCTCAGTGGTAGAGCATTCGACTGCAGATCGAGAGGTCAGTGCTTCAACTCCGCTCGCTCCCTTCTCTTTTATCAATGAAAAAAAAATCCAACATTTTTATCGTACTGATTAGTGAATTAAAAAACCCAAATTAATTTTCGTTCCAACAATCCGTTTGATTGATAAATAATCCTTGCAGTTTAGTGTTTTTTCAACGACTCTCTGGGACACATGCATGTTCTATAAATTTGTAAAACGGGAGTCCATACCTGGAATACATGGAATATAATTACTTTATCTTAATAATGGGCGTGCATAGATATACTGTAGAGCCAGGAATTTCTCAGTTATTTTTCTAGGTGTTTATGTCCCGTGGTGTAATGGTTAGCACTTCGGGCTCTGAGTAGGATAAATTATATAGTTGCTATAGTTGCCAATATACTTTTGTAAATACAAAAGTATGCAAAAGCCTCATCAGAGAGTTGAACTCTGGACCCCTGGTTTACAAGACCAGTGCTCTAACCACTGAGCTAATGAGGCGTATGTGCAAGCTTAACACGAATATAATTATATGAATACTTTATCTTAATAATGTGCATGCGCGTAGCAAACTACATAATTATATATTATGCAGACAACATTCGTCAGTAAGTTTAATAGATTTTTAGGGTCTGTGGTGTAATGGTTATCACTTCGGACCCTAACTTCGAGAATCGGAGTTCAATTCCTTGTAGAAACTCTTTTAAAACATTCATTCTCCGTCTTTATTTATTTTTTAATTTCTGGCTTTCTCTTACAGGTATCTAAGAATATAGCATATGAC